TTTTTGGTCCGTGCACATTCCTGCGCAGAGATGGCATGAGTTCCGAACGTCCGGTCGTGTATGCATTTGTGCGAAGGAAACGGTTAGCTTTCACAAACAAACTGTCTGGTTTTTTCGAGAAAATGGCGGGCAAAAAATACCAAATGGAGACGTTCGTCAATGGCTAAATGCCTGCACAAATGTGAAAATCAGAGTCTTGTAAATCTGCGACGTTATGTTCTGTTATTCCCATTTCCTCGGTGCAATCAGGGAGTACGCACGTGTCAAATGGTATTTGTGCAGTTTGGTCACGAACGCTCTCTTTGAAGGGCTGACAAATATCTCTCCATTATTCTTGGCGATGCCATACAGTAGATATTTCGCTTCTTATGTTACTTGCACACATTACTCCAAGAGCTGCAAGTGGTGTACTGCACGGACCGAAAGTTCATCTCGTACCTTACAGTGCATTGGCTGTATGTTACCTGCAAATGGGCAATGAATGCACAATCCGGGATAGAGCACTTTAGCACTGTGAACAAGAATCATCCAGAGAATGCTTTAATAAACGGATGCACTACTCAGACACGCAAATACGCCATGCAGAGGGTGTTTCATCACGCTGAGTGTCTCATGTCCCTTCTGTTGCTGCGACAAGAGAAATCCTGGAGGGCAACGTTCTAAATGTTGTCTGTCAAGTGATTGCGTGCGCGGATTCCCTCATTTTGAGTTATTCGAGACCGCGACTCCGGAGGCTGCAATACCATTATATTGAAACCAACAAGGAGAGGCATATCGATGTTGTCTGAACTGTAGTTCCCGGTGCAACCATCAAAGTGCTTCCAGACAGTTGGTGCGTTTGCCGTTAAGTTAACTTGACTCTTCCACCGGGTGGCGTGGCTTCCTTAAATGCATGTGTTCGTGAAATTATGGAATAATTCCGTCCCAAGCACTAAGAAACGTTATTCATAGATGTTTCCTTAGGTTGCTTCCCAATTCACCAGCGGTATTTGTCTGTTTTCAAACTACCGGGGCAGGGTATCTAAATTTGTGAAAGAATTCTTTCGCTGCCCGAAGTGTTCAGAGTTACCACGCGTCATTACATTGTATTTCACCCTGACATTATCTGCACGTAAAACCCCCCGCCAGAATGTAGTTCATTTTCGCGATGCACCCTCTTTCAATTATGAGCCACATTATTACAAGCTGCTCTCTTCTGCAGTTGTCGGTGAACAACAACAGATGTGGACAAATGGCTGTTCATCGAAAAATGCACCTGGAATACGACGTCACGCCTTCCAGACATGGTGGCATTTTAGATGTACGGGGTTTCAGCATGGTCAGATAGGTCAATTATTAAAATATCCTGACTCGTTTGTCTGGGCCAGTCGCCTGAGGGTAAAGATGCATTTTACAACAAACAAGGCAGCTATCAAAGAGAAAACCTAGTGCCTACTCTTTGGAGGGGTTTAGTCGGGACGCTCGAGAGAAAAACTAACACATTTTTTCAAATACTCTGGAACTTAAAAACAAAAAAACAATTGGCCTGGGAGACATTTGCTGGCAAACTTATCGTCCTGAGCGCGTACCTAGCGCTACCCCTCCCTGATTCGCCGGCTGCAAAAATGGTTACCCATCTTTCTGATGTGGAAGTCAATGCCGTCAGGGTTTCGCCTGTAGAAAGGCGCACGAGCAATAGCAGGCCAGCCATTCAAAAGTTGATGTTTGGAACTAACACATCAGAAAAAGTGGCAGTAAGACGTGATGGGCTCGTCACCATGCCTAATAAAGAATATCTTCCTGTAGAGTGGTTACGCGACAGTGGGATCAAACGAACATTTGGGCTCCAATCGCCCTTTCCCCGCCAACCATCACACAGGGGATTTTGATGCGGACTATCAGCATGCAAACGGTTTATCAAAAAACAAACGCGCATTCAAGGATCACCCTCCAGAGGCGCGAAAACCTGGCCACAACAGATCTAGAGGGGAGGTGCTTAACAAACCTACGCTTGGAGGCAGTTCAGATGACCCGAAACTTGGGGTTAACTCGACAGTGGTTGTTTTCTGAAAAGTGTTCCCACGACACCGGCCGCGTCTTTGCACTGCAGTTTCTACTCAGCCGCAAAATCACTCCGACTACCAACGAAGGGGATCCCCATGGGAGATAAAACTCGCTTGACCGAGCATCACACGTAAGTTGAATTTTCATCATCGTTTTCCTTACCGAACGGCAAAAGGGCAGTGTTAAATCCTATACTCAATTCACAAGTTCTAAGCTGAATGGTTTCCGCTATGCGGAAACAAGTAGTAAAGGTCAACCACAAGCGTTGGCCTCAGCATCGGGAAATGTTGAGAGAACCCTACAACCATGGTGATTACAGCACCGCCAGCCTCCAGCTCTAATCCATCAAAAGCGGCCTCTCCGATCTTGGACGCAGTTGTTCCTCATGAATCCGATGGCCAAAGCCACAATACCGACACCAGCTTACCAAACTTTCTACACACACCGAGTTGGATACACTAATCGCGGATGATCTATGAGTCCACACCAGCTCAAAAGCAGAGCGACTGCGGTCAAAAAAACCACTCAACCCCCGCCCCATTAAAAAGCTGTTGACTAAAGTCAGGGTGCAGCCGTTTGCTAAAACGAGCCTTTTGTCCCGTGCAAGGCACAAGCGGAAGAATGAGGCTTCACAGAGGAAGCCTACCAGTCACACGGCACCAAAAAGCTCAAGCAAACAAACGCATAGATGTGCACCGCTAATCTTTGAACAGCAACAAATACAGACGTTCAAGAGATGCTATTGCATCGGATACAAATAGCAGCCATCAAAATTTTCAACCACGAGCGGAAAACTACCTTCTTGGGGCGAATGCCCTGGGCGAGATGGGGCAGTGGTTTGAGCCGCCTTCCCTCTGCTTGGAAGGAAGCGATTGTCACGCCAATCTACGAAACTGGTGACCGGCTATCGCCTGGCAGCCATAGACCTATAAGCCTCACTGGCGTGTCGTGCAAGGTGATGGAAGGCATTCCGAGTCGAGCTATCCTAGAATACCTTACTTCAAGCGACCTGATATCTCGAGCTCATCACGGATTTCCTCAAAGCTCCGTCCTGAGACCACTCCTGCTTCTGATCTAACGACCTCTCCTCCCAGATGTTCTTGCAATGCATGTCTACTTTTTGCGGACGGGGCGACTTAAAATCCTGGATTTCTAATTCCAGTGCCCTATAAATGGATGTAGACGCTGCCAAGCAGTAGTTGTTGGACAGGCACCTTCCTCTGAATGATGAAAAATGCGTCCATATGTCGTTTGGAGGGGATTCAGATAATGCCCTTGTCATGCATGGTGAAAAAGGACCAGGAAACATCACGAAGATAGATGCAAAAAGGATCTGGGCATCTGGGTCTCCTTAAATTTGTCCTTCTCACTGCACCATGAGAAAACGGCCCAAAAGGCATTCGCCATTTTACGGATGATCCGACGCACCTTCTCCCGTATTACTCGCATGAACTTCCAAATACCCTATGGGGCCTACGTCAGACCGCTCCTAGAGTACGCCGACCAGGTTTTCTACTCAGGACACACAGAAGACGTCACCCTTATTGAGCGTGTCCAGCGAGCCGCTATGATAATGGTTGCCGGCCTCAAGTCCGTGGACTGCGATACCCGTCTCGTGGTGGTTGATCTATTTCCCGTGGAGTATCGTCACCTCCGAGGGGGTTTAACTGTTACGTATGCCCTGTTTGAACAAAGCTTGGCAAACAGGTTTTTCACCGCTGACCCAGCGAACACACGGCGGGGGCATAGTAAGAAGATTTTACAGCTCAGAGCACACACATTCATTAGACAAATTTTTTTCTCATTTCAGGTAGTAGCTGCGTGGAATGATCTTCCTCCGACGGTTGT